ATGATGCGGATTTAGCTCTTGGTCGGAACAGGACGTTGAAGGAATACAATGAGTATACTTTCAACGATGTTTTGCCAACAACACAGAAGAACAACTTTTAACAGCTCTTACAGTGGCCAACTTTGTTTTTCTATAAAAATTTCCACTTTTTTTAACTTTTAACCACTGCTCTAAAAAACTTGTCATGCATGGCGATTATCAAGACAAAAACGTTTTAAGAAAGAAATAATAGCAACAAAATGGTTTACACTCATGCAAATTTGCAAACTGATTATATTAAAGACGTATTGCTGCTCTACTAGGAACAATCATAAAACCTTTTTACTGTTTGGTCCTGTAACATTCTTACATAGAGGAAAAGTAGTCCTAAGACCAAAAGCTCCTATGAGTCGGCTTTAACAGATGCATTAAAGCCAACTTTCTGAGCACCATTAAAACAAATAGGCATCTGATAAACCTCCATAAAGCTTATTGGACTATAGGCGTTTCTTAGGGCCTAAAAAAGCATTATTGGTTAACAGTAATAAATAAATGTTAAGATCAAATGGTTATAATTTCAAAAAGGTTTTAATACTTTACTTTAAAGTCGCTCATAAAGCCTAATCATAAAGCTTCATTATCTCAAGACCAAAGTAGAACTGCAATAAAACAAATAGCATGTTTTCATGCATTTATAAAGCTTGCATAAAACAGTAAAGCATTATCGGAGGCAACCGTTTGCTACTTGTAGCATAAAATTTAAGGACTTCATAAAATGACCTGAGGAATCACACCCTGAAATATAAGCACCTCACTAATATTATTTTGTAGGTGAAAATTTTAAGGCTTATATAATATAATAATATGTTTATCTTATATAATACGAAAATCATTTAAATACAAGCGTTTCGTATAAATACGTTGGAAAATAATATTTTCTTTTGTTAAGTAATTAAACAACAAAATGAACTTTTTTAAAATTAAACATATACAATATACTTGTGGTAAGTATATGAAATTAAAAACCTACATCGCCATCTATTTATATCCACCAAAACTGCTAAACGCCGAAAGAAAATTATCATAGCATTCTATCAGCAACTCAAGACAGTATATCTTTCAACCAACAGAGGACGCTCATTACACAATCAATCTTACTCAAAATATTAAACCGTAAACCCCATATCCCATTCCCAAATTACCATAAAACCAACAATTCCCATAAATAATCACAATCACCCATCTAATTACACATAAACATAAATTTAAAACGACAGTCGGTTCATTAGCTATTAGAAAAGTAAACTTCATCGAACACATGCAGTTAATGTAAAAGCAATTAAAGAGGAAATATACAGTTGCATTGCATCGTCCTCTTTTCAGTGGCAAATGCAAAACGCCATAAAAAAGAAACTATGGACGCAGGCATAAAACACTCGAAGATGACCCTTGGGGACACCGAAAGAAATAAGAAGAATCAAGCGGAGATGTTAAGGTAAATGGTGGTAATTAATTTCCTCCTAGCAGGTGTTTGAATGATTGATTAAATATTTTGTCACAACAAATACTAAAAATACTATAAGAAATTTATAATTTAGCTTAATTTTTTTTTATAATTCATATTAAAATAAAAAATAATATGTTTAGGTACAGACATACAATTAATATCGAGAATAATATATAATATTATTAGGTCATACGTTATTTACGAAATTAGCTTGTTTTACTAAAAAAACATCAATGCCTAAATGACAGTTTAATGATATAAGAAAAAATTCATAACTTGCTCATAAATATGTAGCAATGTATGAGACAAATTTTTGTAGGAAATTTTACGCTTCAGAAAAAAGGTCCTTACCTTTTTTTTTCTGAAAATGTCCGGATATCCATTTAAATGATATCGGAGGTTAAAGTTTGAAATAAATAAAACAATCATGTTTTTTTGTGTCGTTTAACCCTGCCTAAATTATGATACTATTTTGACCTAATATGCCATATTATGAATAACTTTCTCATTAATAGATACGCAATCAAAACTTTACTATCCACATTTTATTTATTTAGTTTTATTCTTATTTTTGTACTGAAAAAAATTAAAACCATTCAAAATGCACAGATACATACCACAGAATAAAGTTCTTTATTCTGTGTACATACCTCCTGGTTAACAATTCATAATAAAAGATTTAACAAAGTTTAAAAAACAAAATTTTAATTTTAATCTGTTGTCGATAACACGACCATACTTAAAGTTAAAGTGGGTAATTAAAATTTGTTAAATATAAAATATGTTAACATAAAATATGTTAACATAAAAAATAGTTATTTATTTACCAAAACCAAAAAGTAACATTGATTTCATTAATGATTTATTGGTATAATTATCAATAATAAAAGCGACCAAAAAAGTGTTTTTTGGCAGCGTTTAATAAACGGCCAAAAAAGTGACTTTTTAGGCTGCTTTTGATAGATGGCGCCACCATAAAACGGACAATAATGAAAGCGGCATAAAAAGTGTTATTTTTTGGCCACTTTTGAGTACTAAAAATTCACTTTATTGTTTATGTCTACTAAAATATTATATTAATGAACTTATGTCATAAGACGTCATTTTTTCGCAAGAAGACTATCGCCATGGAAAAAATACGAAATGCAACTGGATAAATATATTGAGATGTTTTTTATTTTTACTTGTTTCACTGTTAGTCTAGAATGGGTTTTTAGAGAAGCGACCTACACGGAAAAAAATAATCGGTAGAGGCTACCGATTGGCAATCGGTAGCAGCTACCGATTGCCAATCGGTAGACTCTACCGAAAAAATCGGTAGACTCTACCGATAAAATCGGTAGTCTCTACCGAAGAAAAATCGGTTACCTCAACCGATTTTTATCGGTAGCAGCTACCGATTATTTTCGGTAGAGTCTACCGATTTTTTCGGTGCAGGCTACCGAAAAAATCGATTACCAATTTTTGAAAATTTTTGTATTTTTTTAGCGAGAAGTTAAATACTCGCTTTTTATTAAATAGAAAATAGTATATATTTTTTTTTGAGGTATAAATAAATTTAAAATACAAAAATATTAAAAATGAGGAGTAATTTTTATTAATTTTTTTACAATTCTAAATAAATATATGATAAAAAAACCCATTTCTTTGAATAGCATTTTTTAATAATTACAATGAATACCATCTCAAAATGTTTGACTGAAAAGAGTAATTTTATTAACTTGAATAATGTTTAATATTATTTTTAAATGTTAATATTTTTAAGTATTAATATATTTTTTTTAATTTTGTAACAGCGCATCGATGCGGATTTTCTCGGTTACGGCTACTGAAAAAATCGGTAGACTCTACCGAAAAAATCGGTAGACTCTACCGAAAAATAATCGGTAGCTACTACCGATAAAAATCGGTTGAAGGGAACCGATTTTTTTACGGTAGACACTACCGATTTTTTCGGTAGTCTACCGATTTTTTCGGTAGAGTCTACCGATTATTTTTTTCCGTGTATAGTAATAACATAACATAAGCGGTTCTGCACTAATGCAAGAATTTTAAGAAATCATACATTTTGAATATTAGAGCTTCACGGAGGTTAGGATTTCGTATTTTTTTTAAACATCCCTTCCTATAATTGAAATAAGTTATTGTATTTTTTGACACCTTAATATTTTAAAAAAATACAATAAATACAAAAATACAATTGTACATACATAAAATATTTATAAAAAAAATCTACTTACTATTACACTTCGAGGTGGATAGGTTTTTAAATAGCAAATTAATGAACTTAAACTTTGGAATTATAAAACAGCAACACTCTCATCTGCATATGAATTCTAACTGACCTTCAGGAATCACAAACAGAGGTTTTTGCTTATTTAAAATGATTAAAGCGCCATCCGTTGCATAAAATTTAAAGCAAAAACAGATTCGCGGAGAATAGAATCAATGGTTATAAAAATTATTTCTTTTCATTTTTAATAATATTTTATATTTGATTCGATTGCTTTGGATGTGTTTAATTTACCTAGTGAACTGATATTTTAAGTATGCTTTTACTACCTCAGATATTTGAAAACATAAAGGTTAACCTAGAAAGAGTAACAGTCACGGAGGGTAGGTTTTAGACTTTTAAAACATTGTAAAAAATTATTAATTGTGGTTAAAAATCTTGAACCCGAGCTGTAATAACTTCTTAATTATGAAAGATTAAAACACAATAAAAGTGTAGGTCAAATTCATTTAGTTTTATAAAATATAACGGGGTAACACCATCGGGGGACATTTCGTGAGATTCACCCAAATGCGCATCGTTCTGTGCCGATTATGGTAAACAAATAGAATAAATATAATATAATATTAATATAAAAAAAGATCTTTTAATTCGAATTAAATTAAAAAAATTAAGTTACATGGCTGTCATGGTTGACTTCGTATTATTGGGGTTTTGACCACGAATATTTAAAAATCCGCTTGTGGGTGAGATCTGAATTCTTTTTTTTTTATTTTAATTAAATTTTAATTTTTTTTAGACTAAACAAATAATTTAGATGATACCCAAGTGAAGAAAAAAGACAACTCGGGAATAACATACATATAACGTTTATAATATATTTTACATTATAATATATTATAAACATATATATATACATATAAATTTACATAATCCAACTAAAATATCAATATCTAATGAAATTAAACCAGGTGTTTGGGTAAATTAGCAAATAAAGATTTTTGCATGTTTACTTGAACTCTCCAAACTAAAACTAAACAGTTATATTATAAGTACCTACTAAAATGTGAGTAATGGTCAAGAATCTTGTTGTTAAACCCGGTTGGGTTTTGAAGCATGACAAATTGAAGCATCTTGGATAAAACATAAAGGAAATACCTCGAATAATTCATTAAGTACCTATTCTAATAATGTTTAAAATGTATTTGTATGATGCCAAAAATGTAGATTTGTTAATAGTACACAAAGAAACCCAAACCGCAATAATTTTTTTCAAATTTATTAGTATTTACCGATACATTGACTTGATGATGTATTGGTTCTTCTTTTCTTGATTTTTCCTAAATCTATGAATCTCGGAGGAACCGATCCGATTTTTTTCGTGATATAAATGGACTTGCTGCCTTCTGTACTGGTCGATTGTAATGATTTTTCATCTGACTGACTGGGGTTTTGTATAAGTTGAACTATGGTTTGTTGCACTTTTGGAAGCTTACAGTTTTTCTTCGTTTTTGTGAAGATTTCGTAGTTTTCTTCATCGTTTAAAGCGTTCACCACTTCTGCGAAGTGGTGTTGTAACAATTCAGAAGGAAATTTCATTTTTTGCGTTTTTTACACAAAATTTTGACAACAAAATGATAGGATGAAATGAAAGTGACGTTATGTTCTTTTTTATTTGGACGTGGGGATTCTAAAACAAAAGTTACTAAAGCTGTGATAAAAAAATCTAAACCACTAATGGCCACTTGCACCGTAAGTTTAACAGTGGTTTTATTTTTAACACAGGTTTATTTTTCATAACTGGCTTGCACCGTAAATTAATCCTTGTTTAAATACCTCTAAACTACTGTTAAAATTAACCCCCAATTTCGGTGGTTGTTACTTTAATCCACAAGGATTTATAACCTCAAAGTACTAGTCATCGATATTCAAGATCTTTTTTTTCAAAGATATTATTTATTGACATCTTTAGCAAATCCAATAAATATAGTTATAGGTATAGAGGTCAGCAACTCTATAATGAGTCACTACCAATAACCAGAAATATAATAGAAAGAGTATTTGGAATTTGGAAAAGAAGGTTTCCAGTGTTGGCATTTGGCTTAAGATTAAAACTAGATACAGTTTTGTCCATTATTCCAGCTGTAGCTGTACTACATAATATTGCTAGAGACATGAATAAACCAAAGCCGCCATTGCCTGATGATATTAATGCCATGAACTCATCCACAAGGTCGCATTAGGTTTCAAAATCAATTAATACAAGATTATTTTGCGAATTTATAAAATTGTGAATAATATTTTTGATGTTTTATTTAATTTATACTTCTGAAAAATTTGAGGAGTGCCCCCTTTTGTCAGGATCTGTATCCATATTATTCTCTCTTACCATCAACTGAATCGGTCGTACATGAAATAGAATCGAACCACAGATGATAAAGAATCGATTATAAAAAATCGAACTCTGAACGTCAAAATATATTTGCGTCACAAATAAGTTTGAAGTTAGTTATTAGCACCAATCTCTTCCATTTTTTAGTCAAATTTCCTAGATCACTAGTTAAATTTTAAACCATTGTAAAAAAAACGGTGCAAGATTTTGGACACTAATCTCCTGTTACCTTTTAACGTCAGTTTATTTAACTGATCAGTTAGAGAAAACAGTGCAAGTGGCCATAAATCAACCACCAAAATGATCAAATGCGTTAAATAAAATAAACTTCCTTTATATTTTTGACAGTTTTTAATGAAGCAAGATGGAGGAAAATACTAAATACAAAATTATAGCATATTACAAAACGTACTTCAAATATCTTCAAATTACCTATCTGGCGCTTAACCAAACTTTTTATCCATATACTCAAAATTACTACCATCAACCAACAATTTTTTTTTATGTTAGTTTAATTTATAACATCAATTAAAAAACTGAAATTTCTTCTTCCTATTACGCTCTACTTTCTTCGGATGGTAATCGGTTTTTAACAGCTCACGTTGCAGCACAATTAATAAATTTCAACAATTATTTTTGCCTCTTTCACCGCCGCGCGGCGCATGGCATATGTTGACCACTGTTGTTAACATGAATGTTAACTTTATCTAACACGTTTTATTGAGTTCTCGCATTTTTTCATGCATTTGACTGCAAGGACGTGATTGTTGAAGAGTTTTGTGCACTGTATGCATAGTAGCCATCCTGAGAAAGCTGCGTAAAAATAAATATAAAATGTAAAACCAAATAGTAAAAAAAAACTTTGGCAAGCTGAAACATTTCACGTATAAAAAATATTGATGTAGAAACAATTCAAATAAAAGGGTTGGATATGTACTTTCTGACAAGTTGTATAATTGTCACATTAGTATCTATAACTAATGAAGATATAGCAAAGATGTACTAGTTTAATGCTTTTTATAATATTTTGCCAATTGGTATTAAAACTATTTTCCACTGTATAACAGCGCACAGTTAATCTAATAACACTAACAACAGCAGTGGTGCTCGTATATTCCAGACACTCCTCATGATTTAAAGATATTAATTTAGCAAAGCAAGCGTATTTAGCATGGCATGCTCGATGTTCTCTGGTGTTACGTACAACAGAACAACAGTTGAGCAGTTGAACGGTCTCTTCCTTAATATTAAATAAAACATGGATTGCGTGCTAACCGTGCCATAGCTGATTGTGAACTGGGGTTGTTGCCCTAATGACTGTTTCTACTATTAATATCGAGGTGTCAGAATTATTAACTAAGTGCCCAATATAAATAAATAAATTAGCACAAAATGAATCAATATTTGAGAACCATTATTTAAGTTATTTTTTGTTTACATTTCATTTTTTAACTATAACGCTTAATAATTTAAAAATTGGGATATCACATCATTTTTAGGTTATGTTCCTACTCGTAGATTTATCTATAGTTATATTCAACGGGCATGATGACATTTTAGCTTTACGGAGTTAAATAATAATTTGACTTTTGAACTACTACTAATATAACTTTTTTCTATATAGACTTATGAGTGTTATAATATGACACAATTTTAAATAGGCACGAGCGAAGCTTGCGAGCGAGTGTTAAATAAAAACAAGTGTCTAGAAAATTTTACAGCTGGATTGCCTATAATTAGTTCTACAAAATGGAATGTGTAAAAAAGCACTATTACGAGTATGTTTGTATCAAACAAAACACCCAAATCAGTTATAGTGGAGACTCTTTCCAGTTCATCATTTTTAATAAAATTATTATAATTCCAATTCCTAAGTTCAAACACTTTCAGAAAAAAAATTACCTTATAAGTAAATGTATACATTTATTTATATTTAACTAATTAAATTTCATTACACCAGTCAGCAATACGATTAAGATCTGATTAATGCATTTGGCAATCCCGAAATGAGAACACTTTTTCATATAACTCCGCAATTAAAATAAATTCACAAAATTCCACACTTGTGATAATATCATTAATAGAAAATCAAACACACAATAGGCTCCAAATGAGACCCTTGCGGTAATTCTGAAGGAATTTCAATAAAATATGATATCCCACCACAACTACAATTTGCTTTCCATTAGGGCCGGTTTATAAATCTCTAGTTAAGTTCCAGTTAGTCTGTCTGACAGTTAAATTTTATATCGATCGTTGCAGGGCCATAGTACCCATTAGGCAGGTAAGGCAATTGCCTTAGGCGCCACGTAGAAATAGGCGCCTTGCAACTTAAAAAAAAATAAAAATTGTTACCAAAATGTTTATTTTTTCCAAAAATAAAACAAATAAACAATATACAATTGTAAAAACAGAAAATTATTTACTGTTTTTATTATTTTATAAAAATTTAGCTTCCTTTGTAATAACGAGGTGTAAAGCCGACAAAAAAGCGTGCCGCAAATTCACTTCTGTTTTTATGCCAAATACATAAATGTATTTCAGATAAAATTAATCAGGTGTTATATCACCATGCTTGATTACGAGGGCACTGCGTTTTGAAGTAGAATACGATATTTTATTATTAACAAATAATAATAAATCTTAACGTTAACTTAACTTAAAAGATAATTTAATTTGTAAACTTTACCCTATATAAACATATCTTTAGCACTCTTTAAACTATTTCAAAACCCCCGTATGCTCCAAGCACACGGATTTCTCTTGCATCGGGTACCCGCTGTGATGTGCTGCTCACCCCAGCGGGTACGCGATACTAGAGGAAACTGCTGCCGGAAGGACTTGGGTGTTTTCGCGTTTATTCAAGAGTGGCACTTCTATGTGTTGTGTGTTTGGTGATACCAGTCTGTGTTCGATAGTTAAGGTTGATTTAGCCTGGCTTTTAAATTAAATTACGTTACGTTAGATTACGTTACACAAAATACACTTATAAGTCCTAACACTTTTTATTTACATTATATTTGTTATGTTTGTATGTTATTTATGTTTTTTATGTATTTTTTTAATGATAAAAAGTATTCTAATTCATAGGGAATAATTAGGTTATAATGCTCGGGCGCCCTTAAGCTAACAGTTTGGGGTGGCTCTAATAAGCTTTTTTAAAATTTGCCCCGGGCCCCGTAAGTATAGTATCTAGTTAGAGGAGCCAAACTTTTAAGTGCCTAAGGCGCTCAATTGCCTTAAGCCGGCTCTGGATCGTTGTGAGAACAATCATGGAAATTATGTAACAAATATCTAACTTAACTGGACATTGATAAACCGGCCCTTAGTCAAGTAACCTTTTAACCAGCTGGTACTCAAGTAACCCTTAAGTCTTATGGTTTTGCTGCTTCCTTGTTTAACTGGTCATTGAATAAGGAACCACTAATACCATAAGACTTAAGTTTCAAAAGCAATAAATCAATATGAACCCTATTTAACGCCCTTCTAAAATTGGTATAAATTTAGTTTACTTTTGATAAGGCTATTTTTGTGCTAAGCTTAAAGTATTGAGAGAAGCACAAAAAGACACGTGTCAGCCGAATGTCATACAACGTTTTATCTTTAAGGCACAGTTTATTTATCAAACGATACTCAAAAGGTACTTAAATCAGTGAGATTAAGAACAGTACCAGTCCAACTTCTATTTTGTCAAATCATTTACTAAAATCAATTTAAAAGTTCAAAATTCATGATTGTATAAATTATTTTACAAGATTATTATATATTTTTAAATAGTTTAAACATTGTCATAAAAATGCATTTTCAACTATAAAACGAACTTTTGGACATGTTCTGTTATTAATCTTACCAATCCAATTATAATAACATTTATTAAAAGTATAAAGTGAGGTTGGATAGCTTCAGAGTTTTCAGCAGTTATCGAACTTTTTGATTGATCCTAAAGGAGTTTTTACAGACTAGGATGTAAAAACTGACTAGTAAACGTTGATAATAATAAAGCTTAAATTATATAACGCTTGAAAATAATATATTATGTATCAAGTTTGATAAACGCTATTTTAGTCACAAATTTAAACCAGGCACGAGCGAGCTTGCGAGCGAGTGTTTAATTCAATGCGTGTCTAGAAAAGTTTATAAACGAGTTGCATACTATACTTATTTTACGACAAATGCACAATATTATTTAAAAATTATTGAAATTAAATATTTGTATACAGCGACATCCATAAAACAATAGAGTAATTGAAATGTAT